AACTCTAGGTTCCGGGATAGGGAGGTGGATGGAGGCATGGTGCTGGGAAGTTCTTGCCTTTGAAACCACTCCCCTTGCGGACTAGGGAAGACAGGTTTATTTTCCTTAACACGGTCCCTCAGACCCATTAGAAGACGATTTTACCCTCCAGCAATTTTGAACATTAAAAATGTCTGCAGATGTTGGCAAATGTCCTTGGGAGAACAAAATTTCCCCTCATTCCGAACCACTGAATAAATCAATGCATTCAGCCAAAGCCAAATTATTTTTGACTTTGTGGTAAAGGAATTTCAGAATGTGTATCTACTTACATTCTCCAGATATTTTCTGCTATAAAGTAGTCATATCTGACAACGTTTGTGGTCTGTAGCTCCACTGGCTTCACTGGTCTCCTGAAACATGAGAGAATGTGATATTGGCTACAGACCTGAAGAGCTGAGAGATTACAGTAGAGTTAGATCTTGAGTTTGGCTTTTCCTTGAAATGTAACTTTAGGTGAGGCCAACCAGCATCATGAATTAAGGCACAGGCTGTCTCATAGTCTATAGCAGGTAGAAAAGTTTGGGTTGGCAAGAGAAGTACAGTATTTATTCACTAAAAAAAAAAACTTTTTCAATAACTTTTAAATCAATCAATATATTTTTTTTAACTTCTTTAATTTTGTTCTGAAACAGGTATACTTTAAAAAATGAGATAGGTTTTCATAATTCATGCTTGGCTTATGAGTAATATAGCTGTGAATATTTTGAATATACTTATTTCAATGACTTTAAAATTTACATTATTGCCATTTCTTGTGATGAAATATATTTTTATTTTTGGAATAACCTGACTCTGCTTTTATTTTAACTAATTTATTTTTTTACATTGAGTTCAATTTTATTGTGATGCATTTTCTTTTTTTTTTTTTTTNTCAGGTGCTCTGTGTTTACATTTGCACTTCCAATATTAAGAATTTTAAAAGTTTATAGCATATTGTCATATAATTTCATCTGAAGTTCCTGCATCCTTTAGGTAATATGATTTTGAACCCATTCCCAGGCATGTTGCAGACTTGGGGCTTTGATTTCTCAGTGTCTTTACCTCCTATGAGCCTGAATGATCAGCAGACTTACAAAATAGAACAAGGAGTTCTGAATCTTTGCCAGTCTTTTATAGGTCTTTTTTTTAATGGGATCACAGAGATCCAGATTCCACAGCAAAACATAATGTCCTTGTTTTCCATCCCTATGCAGATATTAACATCCCAACACCAGTTGTTGAGGTCTTTCTCTAGTTCTGACTTATCCATCATCTCTCTGGCTTGAAGTCTTCCTCACAAATCTTAGCTATGATTTCTATTTATTTTTCCTTCTGGTTTCTGAATAGTTTCCTCCTTGGTTTGAGCTAAACTTGTTCTGAAAGTTTATGTATTATATTTGGAATGGCAAAATGAGATGTGAGAGTTTCTACCACAAACCTGAATCTGCCATATTAAATAGAAGTCAGCACTAGGTATGCTTCAATTAGAATATACATATCATATTTTGTTTATTTTTCTGAAATACCAAAAGTCAAGATTTGACTTACCTCTCAGAGATAAATTGGTGAAAATTTGAATAATAATTCAGAATATTAGTCTCCCAATTCTATTACTTAAATAGCCTTGCATATTATCTCTTTGGATTTTTTTTTTACTCCAATGAATTAAACAGGATAATGTACATAAATAGATGGTAGTCGATATACATTCTTTAAAATTATATTTATTTATTCAATAACTATTTATGGAGTCTCTACCATGTACCAAGCTCTGTTTCAGTTAATAGGAATATTTCGGTGATGAATGTAGCACTATTTCTCACTTTCAGTGGGTTTATATTCTAATTTGGAACTCAGAAACTACACAGATAGACACACACACATACACAGTATAATAAAATAAGTAGAATGTAATGATAGAGACACTGATAGATACACATTATACAAAAAATAAGGACGTTTATTGAATCAAATGGCAGTACCATGTTTAGTTCTTTGAGAATCTCCACAGAGGTTGTGCCAATTTATAGTCCCACTACCAGTGTATAAGTGTTCTCTTTTCTGTGTGTAGTGATCGATATAGGTATCTGTCAACAAATGATTGGATAAAGAAAATGTAGTGTGTGTGTATGTGTGTGTGTGTGTGTGTGTCCGCATATATATATATATATATATATATAATATGGTGTATATAAGATATATATATCATATAAACTATATTTGACATATATAATATATGATATACAAAATATGTAACATACATATTTTATATACACCCGCACACACCTTGGAATACTACTCAGCTTTAAAAATACTAAATTGCTTCCTTTATAGTCAGATGGATGAAACTGGAGGCCTTTATCCTAAGTGAAATGATTCAGAAAAAGAATGTCGAAACTGCATCTTTTCTCTGATAAGTAGGAACTGAACAATGGGTACATGTGCACATGTAAACATACAGAATGGAATAATCAGTACTTGAGACTTAAAGGGAGAAGGGTCAGATGGTGGAAGGGGGCGAGGGCTGAGAAATTATCTATGGGGTACAATGCTTACTATTTTGGCGATAGTTTCCCTAAAATCATCAATATCACCTCTACACAATATCTTCATATAACACAACGGTACTTGTACTCCCTAAATGTATTAAAATAAAAATAAAGTTTAGTTGGGAAAGGCTGAAGTAAGGAGGACTATTACAAATACAATGATCAAAAAAACCTCTCAAGATATAAAATTTGGACAGAATCTGAAGTAAAATTGTTAAAATATGTAGTTGGAAAGCCCGTTAAAAGACTTTTACAAGCAGAAAGAACAGGAATTCACATGCTCTGACATGGGAGCAAATTTGTCATGTTGGAAGAAAATTGAGCCCACTAGTGGGAATGCATGGAATAAAGGGGAAAGATTATTTTAGAATTGGACATTGGAATTCAGCAGGAGCCAAGGCTCATTAAAAGATGTTCATGTTCTAATCCCTGGAACTTTTGAATATGTTATGTTACATGTCAAATGGGAATTAAAATTTCAGATAGAATGAAATTTGTTTATCAGCTTGTTTTGAGATGGGGCATATATAGTGGATTATCTGGGTGGGTGCAGTGTAATCACAGATTTCCTTATAAGTAAAAGAGGGAGGCAGAAAAGTCAGTGTCAGAGGACTACAATAAGAAAGACTCAATAATCACTTCTGACTTTAAACACAAAAGAGAACCGTAAACCAGATATTATAGGCAAAGTCTTGAGAACTGTAAAAAGAAAAGAAATGAATCTCTCCCAGAGCCTCAGGAAGGAATGAAGACCTGAAGACATATTTATTTCAGCCCAGTGAAATCCGTTTTGGATTTCTAATCTCCAGGACTGCAAGATAATACATTTGTGTTGATTTAAGAAATTAAGTTTGTGTTCCTTTTTTACTGCAGTAACAGGAAACAAATACAGGCCATCTCATTTAGGGCCTTTTAGGAGGCCTTAAGTAGCCCTTTAGATTTTGTTCTAACTTTGTAGGAACCCACCAGAACATATTTAGCAGGAAAATAATACAATATGCTTCATTGATTTACAGCAGTACTCTAGCTAATCCATAGAGGATAGTCTAGAAAGGGCTATTAGCGTAAGCGGCAAGATTTTTAGGTAGATATTTTAATAGTTTAGATGAAAATCTATGAGGGCTTTAGTTATATTTAAATATAAAAAACTGTAGGACTGGTAAGAGCTGTAGTTCATAGGCGGTGATATAGATGTGTCCAAGAGTGGTACCTGAGGGCTGAAGAAAATAAAAAACTGGGAATTAGTGAATCCACACTGTCTAAAGTCAGGGAACTGGAAGTGGATACCTTGGTAGACTATAGATGAAAAAGAAAAGTGGTAGAAGGAGTAAGCGATAGAATATATTCAAAATCAGAGACTGGGATAAAGAAGATCCAGAAAATTAGACCCATAAGAAATAACTTATGAAGTACATTGAAGTCTAGTAAAGTATACATGTCCTGAAATAAATTTTAAAAACAATTTCTAAAAAGTAGGAATGATTCATTGTGTCCAATGCTGCTGAAAAATGGCAATTTGAGATTGTAATTTGAGAATCAAGAATTAACCATTGTCACATACAATTATTTTGTAACACTAAAATATGTAGATTTAATACAATTTAGAGGAAAATGGCTTCTTAGTCTGAATTTAAAAGAAAATGCGAGGTGAAGAAAGAAATTTTGTCTGCTATTTTTAATATTTAATATTTACTTATGTGTTGAAAATGTTCATTCCCTGAAAATTCCAGGAAGAAAAAATGGACAAAGTGAAAGAAAATATGAAAATAATAGTGGCAACTTACAATTATTGAATAATTATAATATTTTAATTTATTGAACTTAATTTTTTCTAAGAAATATAAGTTTAATACAATAATCCCAGGACATCCTACAATAGGATAAATAGATAGGGATAGATAATATGTGTGGATTTATCTATCTGTCTATCAGTTTAAAGAATTAATGTCAGGATGATAATGTTACTAAGTAAAAGAGATACTTAATACTATAAAAAAATGCTTTAACTATTTGTACCTCAATTTTTGTTTTTATTTGAAAACTGGAACTTTAAAGAAACTGTAAGTTAATCAGGTATGGGACTCACACCTGTAATCTCAATGCTTTGGGAGGCTGAGATAGGAGGATGGATTGCTTGAGGCTAGGTGTTTGAGAGCAGCCAGGGCAACATAGTGAGACCTCATCTGCACAAAAAAATGAAATAAGATAAAATTAACCAAGCGTGGTGTCAGATGTGTGTAGTCCTAGCTACTCAGGAGGCTGAAGAGGAAGGATCACTTGAGCTTAGAAGTTTCAGGTTACAGGGAGCTGAAATTATTTCATCCTGGGTGACAGAGCAAGATTTTGTTTCTTAAAAAGAAAAATGAAATGATACACGGTATTAATTAATGAAAATGTTTAAACATTTGCTGAAAAACAAATTACGCTAAGATGTCCCCTGTTAAACATGTGGTATCAGAAATCAAATTTCCAGACGGATGTCTGCAAAATTGTAAACTAGAAAAGCCCCAGGCTCTCATTCTGTCATAGAAACATTTTAAAAAAATAACCAAAACCACAAGAATTCTCAAAAACTAAACTTGAGGCTGGCTAAAGAAACTTTATAAGCACTCTTAAAAGCAGTTAAAGCACTGCAGAAAGCAAGAAACATCCGTCAGAAGAAAGTCACCTTCAAAACAGTCAGACATTTAATGGTATTTTTACTTTCCTTGCCCTGCTATCTCCCCAGCCTGGTACAATTTTGCTCTGAAGGAAGCAGTATCCTAGTTCTTAATACCGTCATTTTAATGGAAAGGAGCAGAAAATACCCTATTTGCAATGATCCAAGCTGTCTGGAGGCAGCCAGAAGGACGGGTCTCTGTTTCAACCAACTCAGAGCTCAGGTGAGAGAGTAGAATACAGTATTCTAACTTGGATCCCAGGCAGCACTTGAATCTAAATGCTACTTGAACAAACTGCAGAGATACAAAAACTCACAGACTAGGGCAAGAACTTAGAAAAGAAGACACAATAAACCATGTAAGGCCCCTCAAAATCTATGAAAAAACTCTTCAGGAAATTAGGAAATTCAAAACCATTTATGTATACAGGATAATCAAAAAAGCCACACTCAGGCCCAGAGAAGATGAACACTCAGAAAAGACATAAAAATATGTAAAGTTTCTACCTCAGCCTGATGACAAAGACTAAAACATATCCAATGAATAAGCAGAGGACTGTCTCAACACAGTTTGCTAAAACTGAAAGAGGTTGCTGATTTTTTTTTAATGCCCAGTTTTTCAAAACCAAAAAATTATAGGCACAAAAGAAACAGGGAAACATGATCCCTTCAAAGAAAAAAAAAATCCAGATTGCATTCCTGAGGATAGACAGACATTGGTTTTGCTAGACCAAGACTTTAACAAAATTGTTTCAAATGTGCTAAGATAGCTAAAGGAAAAGTAATTAAATCACGAAAATGGTACATGAAAAAATGTGAATTTCAATAAAGAGATTTGAAAAATTATTTTAAAAAGAATGAAACAAAAATTCTGAATCTAAAATTTACCTTAATGGAGTAGAAAAGTGTACTAGGGCATCTCACCAGAAGATTTCAACACACAGAAAAGATAATCCAGAATTGAAGATACTACATTTGAAATTATTGATTGTGAGGATCAGAGAGCAAAAAGAACAAAGAAAATTGAACAAAGCCTAAGAGACATATGCCACATATCAAGCAGACCAATCTATACATTATAGAACTCTTAGAGAAGAAAGAGGTGGAGAGTCTTCAAGGAAATGATGGCTGTAAAATTTTCTAATTTAAGAAAATACCTCAATATGCATATATAAAAAAACTCAACAAGCTACAATAGGATAAATCGAAAGACACCAACACCAAAACACATTACAATTAAACTTTTGAAACACAAAGATGAGAGGAGAATCTAGAAAAAGCAACATAAATGAAATTCACCACATCCAAGTGATTCTCAATAAGAATAGCAGCCAACTTCTACTTTGTTTTTTACAGGGCTAAACTAATATATAATCTCACCGCAGAGTATAGACATTCCCTTTTCTCTGCAACATTGCCAGCACCTGTTATTTTTTGACGTTTTGATAGAAACCATTCTGACTGGTGTGAGATGGTATTTCATTGTGTTTTTGATTTGCATTTCTCTGATGATTAGTGATGCTGAAATTGTTTTCATGTTTGTTACCTAATCATATGTTTTCTTTTGAGAAATGTCTGTTCATGTTTTTTGTCCACTTTTTACTAGGATTGTTTGTTTCAGTATTGTTGATAATTTCTGTATATATTCTGGATTTTAGTGCTTTGCTGAAGGAATAGTTTGCAAATATTTTCTCACATTCTATAAGTTACTATAAGTTACTGTATACCCTATTGATAGTCTGCTGTTATGCAGAAGCTTTTTAGTCTCAGCAGAATCTTTCAAGGCCATAGGAGTTGGATAATACACAGCCACGTGTCACATGAAAATGAGACACATTCTGAGAAATATGTCATTAGGTGATTTTCATCAATGTGTCAACATCATAGAGTATACTTACACAAACCTAGATGGTAACATCTAAGCTCTATGGGATAGTTTATTGCTTCTAGGCTGCAAACCTATACAGAATGTTACTGTACCGAATACTGTAGGTCATTGTAACACAATGATTTTTGTGTATTTAGATATATGTAAACATAGAAAAGGTGCTGGAAAAATGCAATATAATAGTAAAAAATGGTACAATTGTATAGGGTACTTTCCATGAATGGAGTTTGCAGGACTGGTAGTTGCTCTAGGTGAGTCAGTAAGTTGTGAGTAAATATGAAGACCTAGGATATTATCGTACACTACTCTAGATTTTATTAACCCTACACTGAGGCTAAAATCAATTTATTAAAAATTACTCTTTAATAATAAATTAATCTTAGCTGATTTTAAATCTTTACTTTGTTAACTTTAATTTTTTAAATGTTTCATTTCTGTAGTAACACTTAAAACACAAACACATTATAAAACTGTATAAAAATATATTTCATATATTTATTCTATAAACTTTTCTATTTTTAATTTCATTTTACTTTTAAGCTTTTTTTGGCTAAAAAGTAAGACACAAACACACACATTAGCCTAGGCCTGCAGAGGGTTAGGATCATGGATATCACTGTCTTCCACCTTCAAATCTTGTCCCAATGGAAGGTCTTCAGGAGCACTAACATGCACAGAGCTGTCATCTCCTATAATAACAATGCTTTCTTCTGGGATACCTCCTGAAGGACTTGCCTGAGGCTGTTTCAAAGTTAACCTTTTTATTTTTAATAAGTAGAAGGAATAAACTCTAAAATACTAATAAAAGTATAGTTCAGTACATACATAAACCAGTATCATAGGCATTTATCATTATTAATTATATCATTATTAACCTGTACTGCCTGTAAATGTATAATACTTTTATACAACTGGCAGTGTACCAGATTTGTTTAGAACAGCATCACCACAAACACAGGAGCGATGCATTGTGCTATGATGTGAAAATGGCTACAGTTTCACTAGATGAGAGGAAACATTTTGCTCCATTCCAATAGAAAGGAACCACTGTCCTATATGTCTGTCATTGACCAAATTGTTATGTGGTGCATGACTATATTTAAAGTGCCGGGGGTGAGGGGGACAATAAACTGAGAATTCTAGAAGGAAATTTATGTAAATATAAAAGAAACATGAACAATTAGAGTTTAAAAAGGCTTTAAAGATTTTTATTTGAGTTTTATTGAATTTATAGATCAATTAGGGTATTATTGTTATGGGATCTTTAGGGTGTGTATTTTCTGGCTGGAAACTTCTGTGGCCAGTGGTGGCTTTGCCCGAGTTTTGATCAGGCCCACTGGGGCCACTTGGCCTAGCAGGATGTGCTTGGCTCATGCTTCTGGCCTGGATCCCATACCTGTCAAGGCATACTGTATGGAGTGGTGAGGGGTCTGCGAGCCAGGGTGGAGTCTCACCATTGTGCAGTCAGACATCCTGGCTGCTGCAGTCACACGGGCAGCTCCAGGTACTAGCATGGGTGCTAGCTCTCTGTGAGACTATGGCCAGACCAAGCACACTGCAGGTTGCTTCCACAGCTGGCACTGGAAAACATGGTGGTTCCTGGAAGCCTGGGGATGCCAAGAACTGCAGGGCCCCAAAGAAGAAGTCACAGACCTGGTTCGAGGACCTCCCAGGCCTGGGCTCCCCAAAATGGCCGTCACTCTTATTTTCTTCTCTTCACCTTCAATGTGGTGAGCAAGGGGCAGGTCTGGGCCCTGCTCGTGTTATAGCTCTCTTAGCCTCAATTGGCAGTTCCCAAGTTCTTGTCCTCCACCCAGGGAGAATGAAGTATGCAGACAAATGAGGGTGAGCAAGACAAACAGAAGTTTTGAGCAACAAGAGCTCAGAGGAGGGCCTGGAGTGGATAGCTTCTTTTGCAGCTGGCTGTCCCAATATCTGTTTAACTCTGGCTGAGCATAGGACTTTTATGGGCCTCAGAGGGGAGAAAACGAGTGATGATTGTTCCTTGGGCAGTCATGGACAGGCCTGAAAAAAGACCACAAGTTTCCACTCTGGTCCAGGGGAGTGGGACCCATGCTTTCACGGCATATCTGGCCTGAAATTTGGGCATCACCAGGCACCCACCCTCTTTTGCCCAGGAATCCGTCTGCCTCATGCTGCCATTCGTGGCACTCAGGCTTGACCCTGACTTTGTTCCGAGATTGTGGGAGGGAGAAACTAGGTAGCAGTATCAGGCACTTTGGAGCCTACAAGAGGTGCAGGTGGGGAGGTGAGCTGCTGCCTTCTCTGTGGAGTAGGAGGCCTGAGTCTGCAGCACCATTTAGGTGGCTGTAGCTGTTCCTGGGGTCATGGGCATGGCTCCCTCCTGCTCTTGGGCTCCATAGAGTGTGCAGCCCAGCCCATGCCTCCCTGCTGCAGTCAGCATGATGGCAGCTGCAGGCCATCTGGAGCAGCCTCTGCCATCATAATGATAACAATATTACTTAGATATGCTATTTCTTAATTTTTTAGTTGTTCCTTACTTTCTCTCAACAATATTTTATAGTTTTAACATATTAATATATCTAACATGTTTTTAATTAAATTTATTATTAAGTATATTAGTTTTCCAGTGCTGCCAAAACAAATTATCACATACTTGGTGGGTTAAAGTGACAGAAGTTTTCTTTCATCTTTCTAGAGGCCAGAGCCCAAAATCAAGATGTCAGCAGGCCTAGACTCCTTCTGGAAGCTCTAGGGGAGCTTCCTTTTCCTCCAGTTTCAATAGGCTTTCAACATTCTTTGGTTCATGGCAGTATCTCTCCAAACTCTGCCTCTATTTTTACATGGCCTTCTTATCTGTGTTTCTAAGGACATTTGTCATTAGGTTTAGGGAATATTTAAATAATCCAGTATATCCTCAATTTGAGATCCTTAATTTATTTACAACTGTAAATGTTTTTTG